TGCTGACAAAAGTTTGAATCACAGTGGCATATGGAAGATTTCAGCTCGTAATGAGCATTATCAAACTTACCTTTAAGGACAGTTTCATATCATTTCATTGAATATTGGATTATATTTTGTTGTTGGACACCACGCACACCGTTTAATCCTATTTCGATTTATTCATATATCGCAGTCGCTACAAATCTTAGAGAGCATTTTCTGATTTAAAAAATCAAATCATTTCTCAAAATAATGTTTTGAAGCTCACTGCGTTCAGTAATTCAAGCATGCATTGCTAGGTTTACCAAAACATCGTTCACTTTAAGGAGTCTCATACTAAAAAACGAATTAATCGAAAATGCTATCGTGAATTATACTGCAAAAATTGAGTTCAAGCTCATTTAGATGCTACGCAAACAGAAGAATAAATCATTAAAAGCTGCTACTACCAATTTGATGGAAAAAATGAATGATCATAGTAATATTAGTAAGTTTCTGTCATTGTTACTTGATAATATTATTATGATGAGAATTAAATTGTGATACAGATGATTCGATGCACTCCAAAATGTGTATAAATTTTAAATGAATTTATGACCTGTTCATCTTCAGAAAAAAAAATTTTCCGCTTCATATCAAAAAAATCAGTACTACATCATTGCTGTGAAAATATCACAGTAATCACATATTAGTAGAATTCTAGAACAAGTTCAGATATATATCTATTATATACAATCAATTTCAGTAGATAAACTACTATTATCAATAAAACGAATATCGAACTGTACTGAACAAGAAATTATGTTTTTTATGGAAATAGTACGGTAATGTATTTTGTGAGTAGTTCTGATATTAGTATATTGCAAATCACTTTTCATGGCAAAACGCAAAAGATACTTTTTATTTATATTAGAAAAAGGACAACTGATGATTAACACAAATGCATACACAAAATACAGTTCGAAAAACGCAGACATGAAATATCTTTACAGTGATATCAATTCCGTTAAGGCACATTTTTCCGATAAAACCCAAAGTATTTTCCCATGAAGGACCTGCTACATTGAGTAAGTGTGAAATGCGTAACTTCTCGCTCAGCACAATTATATGGTTACTTTCTTGAAAATATATATCAGTGATTCATTTCATCCTCTGAAAATGACTGCGCGTACTGAATGGATATCTTAAATATGCTTTTGACTTGTTCCAGAAGTCTACTGATATGTCGCTGCTGTGGTATTTTACCAGTGATAAAATAGCGTTGATTTCTTTGATCTTAGGAACAGGTGTAGAAAAGTTGAACAAATCATAAATTTTTCCGAGAAAGACGCTTTAGAGTGATAAGAATAATTTGGATCACTGTGCATTTTTCATCGTATTGTAGGCCAACATATTAAGCAGAAACAATATTCATGCACCTTCGAAATTTTATTCATTTGAATTACTGCTTGTTTCTAGTACTTGAGAGTCTTGCTTGCCTTATATCTAGAATGTTAGTTTTAACTTTTGGCTTTTTCAAAGCCAAGTTCACTGTTCATTAGCTTGCTGAAAAGCAGAAACTTGATCAACGCAGCAGCATTCACAGCCACTCACATTTAAATGTCACTGTGAAATTTTTGAAAACAAAATTATTTTCAAAAATGTAATTGTTAATGGAATGTTTCAGCGGTGAAGTGTATATTGCAGATTGCTCTCCAATCTTCTTCTTATGTGAGAGTGGAAAAGTTTATATGCAACAATAATATGTAAGTAAATGGTGAATTTTCTTCTTCACCAATGCCAATGCACTAAAGCTACTTTTTATGAGCTAGGATGAAAAATCAAGTCTGCTTCAAGAATGTCAAAGAATTAAGAATGAGATCAGAATAAGAAAAGATGAGACTGAAATGAAACCAAAAAAGGAATGAATGGAGAAAGCGAAAGAAAGTAAAAGGATCAAAAAACCTCAGTTTACTCACTGCTATGTATATTTTGCTGCAGCAAAAGCTGAATTTAGATGTATTTACCCACGTAATGGTTGAACGGAATCCACAAAGCGCAGTCAAATGTAAGTGACGCGTGTTTTCATTCTTTTCATACTTTAATAACAAAAATTGCTGCACTTTGCTCTGGACTGAATGCACTCAACAGTTACTGTGACTAGCTTTTGTAGACGCAGATCATTTATGCAGATATTTATTATTATGCTCTTGTCTTGTTATTTATGATGCTCTTAACTGATTAGGAGAGTAAAGGCATTGTGTGCAAGTATTTCATAACCAAAGACTTCTGTCGATGTGAAGATGTAACTTTTTGGGACATGAGTGTTACTAATGAACTCTTAATGCTGTTGATCAGATTCCGTGCGATCTGATACCGAGAAAATCGCCAAGAACGTGTTGAACAAATCAAAAACATGGGTTGATATAGTTTTATTTTCAAGATCTAGCATCTAATGTCATCGTGTTTGAAAACATCAATCGACATAAGGTATGAACAAAGATTGCTGATCGAAAAAGAGTAATACTTAAAAATATACTAGACAAGAATGATCCGCAACAACCACCTTTAGATACAAAGTCCATTTCTTGGGCAGCGAGATTCCTTTGGACAACCATGACACGGTCTCCCGATATCATAAATTCTCTCTCCACGCCACACACCTCTGCAATTAAAATTTTGACATGCGATATTTTTCGACAAAGGCGGTTACGTGATAAAAATGCGCAAATAGCACTTCTATCATCGGTTTTCGGATAATTTTTCAAGTGAAGAATTGCAAAATAAATTACTTTGGATAATACTGGCAACGAAGATATATGAAAGGCATTCCGTCTTCATGCTTGGTGCAGACAGCGCAGCCAACTTGTGTCGTTTTAGCCCAAGCCATCTGAAAGTTCGTTCAATAGTGCCTGATAGTTAGTATTTCGACATTTATCACGTCAAGTACAAGAAATAGTACTTGACGGAATAAGTGTCGAAACACTAACTTGTAAAGTTTGCAAGTGAAGAAAGTTATTCATGTATCTTCGAATCATGTTTGTTGCAATGAGCTTTTTGTCCACATATGAGTAATTATAATGAAAAAGCGTACAGCGTAAAAATGGTTGGCTTTTCCATACTTTGGTTCATTAGATGGATCGAAAACATGATCAGTGTGCAGTTCATCCCACCAATCATTGATCATGTTAGGTATAAATCCTCGCATTTGCTCTGTGAAAAAGTAAGCATGCTTTTGCAAGAATTCAATACGCGAAATAAACTATGAAAAGTGAGGCATTCATTTTGCAGAGTAGTTAGAATAACTCATCAGCATTCAACACATGCATTATTACATGCAAATTTCTGTTCCAATACAAACTTATAATAAGGTAAAATACTACCTTCAGATAAGCTTGAATTCGCCACGAATGCTACATTTTCACCTTTATCACCAAGACGTGACGTATGAGCAAGCTCGCATCTTCTATCTGAGGTTCTTGCAGATCTTTCCAGTGAGCAGTTCCATTTCTAAGTTCAATATTATTATTATTATTATTACTATTATTATTATTATTAATATTATTATTATTATTATTATCATTATTACTATTACTATTATTATTATTTTTATTATTACTATTCTTCTTCTTCTTCCTATTATTATTAATAAAAACTATTTATATTATTTTCACTTTTGACATGTATAATGTAATTTTGACAGTAATTCGTTTTTCTTGTAAATCATATTTGAAAATATTGCTGCAAAATAAATGTAACTGACAAGTTTCTGCATATTTTTGGCCATCGGCATGGATCTACCAATTCTGTCCCTCTCTTGGCCATTTGCTAACCTCCATCTCAATATATTATGTTGCAAGAGGATTTGACTTCGATCTATCGGCGAGACATCTTTACCCTTACCGCAACTGAACATCCGATGTTGAATGATTCCTCCTTGATAGTATTGGTAATGAATATGAGCGTTATTATCACAGGTGATTAACTCGTTCACTGATCTTTTATCC